AAAAGAGCTACAGATAGGGGATTACCCTGGATTATCTAGGAGGGCAAATGTAATCACAAGGCTTCTTATAAGAGGAAGGAGGGGGCCTGGAGTCAGGAGGAGATGTGATGATTGAAGTAAGAGGTTGGAGTGATGCAAGGAAGGGCCTGTGAGTCCAGAAATGCAAGTGTCCTCTAGAAGCTGAAAAGGGGAAGGAAACAGAGCCTCCAGAAGAAATGCAATCCTGCTGATACCTTGACTTTAGCCCAGCAAAACATTCGATTCCAGCATAGTAAGATAATAAACTTGTGTTGTTTTAAGCCACTAAGTGAGTGCTATTTTCCTACAGCAGCAATAGGAAATGAATGCACAATGTCAAAAGAGGGATGATAAAGAGGCAGGGCAGAGCTGGAAGAAATCACAGGTTGTGGTCAAAGACTAATACACGTGTGTGTGTGTTTATACCTTCGTAGAGGAAAGCCCACCCAAATAATAAGCCCAAGATCCTGTCCACACTTGTAATTTACTAAGGTACTAATGTAATTAATGAGGCATGGTTGTTGGAACTGAAGAAGTCAGAGAATGTTGAGCCTTATTTGTAAGGTTACCAAAATACTCAGAAGAGTAATAGGAACATAAGCTGAATGAAGTAGAAGCAATCAAATGACAAAGTCCTCAAGGAATGGGGGTGGGGGTGTAATTTGAGGATACTGCTGAAAATAGATAGAAGATAGTATAATTATTCAGAGTGAAACTCAAATAACAAAGGAGTTTGCATGAGAATAAAAAATAATTTGAAAATGGCTTTGTGGAACTATAGGAATGTCCACATCATCTCTGACTCCTGTGATAAGGAGTTGAGGAACTCTAACTTCACAGGTGAGGGTAACACAAGAAAAAGCCTGACACAAGAAAAAGAGAAAAGCCTAACACAAGAAAAAGAACTAGAGGAAAATCAGCAAACCATGACGTAACAGAAGCAAATACAAAAAATATAGGAGATAGTCTAAGTGCTGCTGAGAGATCAAGATAGAATTTTAAAATGTCCACTGAACATAGAGAGAGGCAGGAACAGGAGCCAAACTTCAATAGGTTGAGAACTAAGCGAATGGTGAAATCAAGATAGAATGTAAAGGCCACTTTTGTGTGTGAAGGGAGCTGGCAGGGGTGGCTCCATGAAGGGCATCAGTAAGATCACAGTGCCTTGATGTGTCAATGCCAATGGGACAGACCCAGTTGAGAGGGAGAGATAGAAGATACAGAAGAGAATAAGTGGTAATAATAATGTAAGGTCCCTGAGAAGGCAAAGGAGATAGGAGCCAAAGTATGAGTGATTAGTCTTAAGATTAAAACTCTGTCATAACTGGAAAGTTGGAGGAGAAAACAGATCCAGATACAGGTAGGTTTATATGATTATTGCAGCTGTGAAGATCAAGGAGTGGTTTCCATATAACCATAAAAGTTACCCAAGTTGGTTGGAGGACCAAAGTGGAAAGGGAGACACTGAGCCAGGTGGCATAGTCTTGGATGATCAAACAGTCAGAAGATCAAAAGATAGCAGCAATAAAGAACTCTTCAATTCCAGAGAGATAAGTTTAACCAATCATAAATGATTACAGTTGTTGAAAGCAACTGGGCATATCTGAGTCTACCCTGCTTACTAGCTATGCGATCCTGTGATTTTTGAATGCGTTACTTAACTTCTCTGAGTCAGTTTCTTCATCTGGAACATAAGAATATTACGAGTTCCTAAATTGCGGGACTTATGTCCCTATATGAAGATTATGTCATGCAATAAACATAGGGTCCTTAACAAATGCCTGGAACAAAGGAAACACTTAACATTGTTAGGTATTATCTATCTGGAAAAAAAATAATGTTTCCATAAGACACACATAATAGAAAGCTCAGAGTTCAATCTACAGTGCACAATTCTTGCAAGAATATATAATCTTTTTTGTTGTTGTTGTTGTTGTTGTTGAGATAGTGTCTCACTCTGTCACCCAGGCTAGAGTGCAATGGCACAATCTTGGCTCACTGCATCTCCATCTCCTGGGTTCAAGTGATCCTCCCACCTCAGCCTCACGAGTGGCTGAGACTACAGGCATGTGCCATCATGCCCAGCTAGTTTTTGTACTTTTCACATAGACAGGGTTTTGCCATGCACCCAGTCTGGTCTTGAACTTCAGGGCTCAAGTGATCCGCCAACCTTAGCCTTCCAAAGTGCTGGGATTACAGGCGTGAGCCACAGCACCTGACCAAGAGTGTATAATCTTTAAGAAGTTCATTATGTGTAGAAACTGCAGCCCAACTTTTATTTTTCTTGCTCTATGTGTCGCATTTCCTCACTTGCTTTAGATTTTATTCTATTTTTGTGTTTCTGTAAATGGTGAAACAAGGTCTGATATAAATTTAAAAGGCTAGTATAAAATTTTGAATGTATTCCTTACTTCTTTCATCACTTTTAAGATTGCTAAAAAGTCTCATAGTGGAAATAAATTAACATTGTGTGCAGACAAGAGGTGACACAGCAGCTCTGAGGCCACTATGTTTAGAAAGGCCTGTATACAAACATTGGCGCTTGGCTGGAACTTGGATTTGGGGAGGATTACCACCATTCTAACTGATAAGTATGGCCAAACTATCTGTACAAACAATATGGTTCTTCCTTCTGCAGTTCTGCCTTCCTTCTATGAGTCTGAAATTTTGGTGCAAGCTGGGCGGGTGCCTACATGATCAGCTCCTAATAAAATCCTTGGGCACTGAGTCTCTAATGAGCTTCTCTGATAAATAGCATTCCACAAGTGTTGTCTCACCTCATTGCTTGGGGAAATTCAGTGTGCCCTGTGACTCTGTTAGGAGAGAACTCTAGGAGCTTGCACCTGGTTTCTTCTGGACTTCTCACCACTCACCTTTTGCCATTGCTGATTTTGCCTTGTATCCTTTTGTTGTAATAAATCTTAGCCATAAGTCCTTTGAGTCCTCCTAGTGTGAATCATTGAAGTTGAGCTTCTTGGAAACCCTGAACACACAATGTTTTTGTCTTCACTGAAAACTATTATTAATAAGCAATGCCAGTGACATCACCAATATATTGTTAAACTTTTATTATGTTCTTGTGTTTGTAAGTTTTATATTGAAGTTACATTCAATGTTTTCTATGTCGACATTTCAGGAAAAAGATGTGAGGAAAAACTACCTAAGTAGTAGAGTACTTCATCAACAGGCTTAGAATATATTCTCTCTATCCTGGCCCCATTGTGCATTCTCAGACAAGTGAACATGTCTGGCCCCAGTTTCTTCACGTGTAAAATTGGAATAATAATAGTATCTATCTCAAAAAGAGTTGTAAGGATTAAATGAGATTATATATGAAATACTTAGGACAATGCTTGGCACATAGTGCTTTATGTGTGCTAATACTACTACCTTATATTAAAGCTCCATGTTTTTATTCTTTCGTGCCTTAAAATGAATTGAGTATTGATAACATTGCCTCTATATAGTAGGTCTGTTAAATTTTCTAAAATATAAGACTACTAAGGTTTAAAAAAATTTAACTACAAATAATAAAAACTGAAAGTCTCAAAGTCACAGCACTGAAACCCTGGGGATAAATACAACTTTAACCTAAAAGCTTCTTTCCATACAAGAAAGTAACAGTGAAAACTGTCACTTGGTTACTCAAGTAGTCTGAGAATGACTCAAGTACATAGTCTTATCTCACCAAAATTCCAAAGGGCATAGAGATAGAAAAAAAGCAGGAGTCATGACAAGAGCAACAGTAGCACAGAGAGACGAAGATCACATAAGGGAACCATGAAGTCCTCAGTATAAAAGTCATATGAGTGTTTTTTCCCTACCTACAACTATTTTATAGTCAATTTATTAAAATCCATTTTACAAGACAATCTATCCATTCCCTTACCTTAAAAAAATTGCTGTTACGACTGAATTATAAAGCATGTGCTGTTAGACTTGATTGGTTTAGCAGTCTTCCAGGTTCTAATCTCTGGAATCTTTCACCTAACAGTTCACCTAAAATTGTACTCTTAGAAAAAAGGAAGAATCCAGGTAGATAAGAGGTCATTAACTAGGCAGGGCACACAGTGGCTTACACCTGTAATCCCAGCACTTTGGGAGGCCAAGGCAGGCGGATCGCTTGAGATCAGGAGTTCAAGGCCAGCCTGGGCAACATAGTGAAACCCTGTCTCTACAAGAAATACAAAAGTTAGCTGGGTATGACGGTGCACACCTATGGTCCCAGGTACTTGCAGGGCTGAGGTGAGAGGATCGGTTGAGGCTGGGAGGCGGAGGTTGCAGTGAGCCAAGATCGTGACACTGAGGTCATCAGCCAACCACACCTATATGATACCTGTCTGATTCCAAGCGTGATTAAAGAAAAGCTTCTAAAAAACAACTATGCAACCAGAAAATGAAATAAAGAGTTACGACAAGGTTTTCGAATTCTAGATTTTCATCCATTTAGCACAGGGGAACAATGGCATATGACATATTTGAAATCATAGTAATAAATAATCAATTGCTACCTTTTATTGTTAGAAATGGATTTTGAACTAAAATTTGCAATGGACTAACCTAAATGGCCTAAAGTTTGCATAGTAATAAATAATATATTGCTGCCTTTTATTGATAGCAATGGACTTTGACCTAAAAAACCTGCCAGAATTTCAGAGCCATTAAAGACAGCATTCTATGTGACTGGTTTCCTTTATCAAATGCAGATGGGAGAGGTACTTGCGTAGATAATGAATCACTGGCAACGTAATTCATTAGAAGAATTGAAATCTAAGTCAGGAATGGTGGCTGTAGATTAGTAATATACATAGCAAGTTATGATTAGCATTCTCCTGAAAATAAGCTAAATCAACCAATTTATTTTGCTTCTCCATTAACATACCCTGTAAGAAAATCTTACATCAGATGAAGTATCTCTTTTCCATGTAAAGAGATTGCAAATTTCCAAAGTATTTTGAAGAGTTCATAAATTCAAAACTCACCATTGAAAATACACTGACAGTTGGTTTCTTTTCCTTCTTATCTTTTTTACTGCAAAACAGCAATGGAATTACATAAAACTTTAGAAATTACACAATTTATAAATTACCCAAATTAATATAGAATGTATATTTAATGACAAATAGGATGAAGAAATATGTCTATATCATACAGTTAAAAAACAGGATAATAATGGTATAACCCCATTTATAATGTTTAAGTATGTTTACATATATCTTAGAAATCTACATATGTGGTTATCACTGAGTGTTGGAATCTCTCTAAAAATATTTTCTTCCTTGTGCCTTTGACATTTTCTGATTTGCTATGATGAATACATATATACACCCATTGCAATTAGAAAAATATACATACTGAAAAAAGAGTTACCTGTTTTTATTCTAATTAGAAAATCATTTATCTTTCCCCTTAATTATGAATCCCTTTGTCATTTGAATAATGATGGCAGTAGATATTTTATCCATCTACTACCTAGATATTATTCTTAATCATTCCCTTTCTACTGAAGTGTGGTGGCAATTAGATGCTGGACATAACTAGCCTAAGAAGAAAATTAAATTACTCTTTATGAGCAAATCTAATTGTGAAAAAAAATGTCTGGAACCCTAAATGGACCATTATGAAATAAATTCATTCTAGAAAGTCATGGTAAAAAATGATGTTCTATAAATTGTCAAAAAGTTGTCCTCAGGCATAAGGTCAACTATTATTTTGAGCCCAGATACAAATGAATCTAACTATGTAGCCCATTTTCTACTCTGTGTAACTGCCACCTGGGATGTGAAAGCAAACCAACTGTAAGAAATCTGCCTCATCTGTATTTTTGTAGGTATAAAAGAAAAAATATTTTAGAAAAGATTTGTGTTATTTTTTACATGGTTTTTAAGTTCATAAGGTAAAGTCATCTTTGTCTTTGTTCTTTACACTAAGTGAGGTCAAAGGAGGTGAGGAGACTTCTAAAGAAAAAAATCCAGAGTTTACCCATTTGGCTTTGGAGTAATGTTAGACAGACATAAAATACACAAACATAACTCTTCAGGTTTGGTCCCACCCAATTCCCAGTAAAGGCATGGTTTCAGTATCCCTGGAACCAGGATGAAAGGAGAAAAACAGCCATAAATAGTTGAGTTTTAGCTCTAAGCTTTTTATTTATTTTTTTGTTCTCTAAAACTGCTGCTACTCTGGAGAAGTTATAATGTTCCAGGCACTGGCTAAGTAAGCACTTCCTACACACAATTCATAAACAATTCTATGAGGAAGACACATTTTTGTTCTTTTAGAGATGTAGAGGAGTGAGAAGAGTTAACTTGTCCAAGGTCCACAGCTATAACTAAGCCAATATTTAAATGACAAGTCTGTTCCCTGACCACCAAACTATAAGGTGCAACCTCAGATTTCTGAGATACTGCATCACACTAAAATGCACTTTCACACAGACTCTCACCCCTACTTGATTACGTACTTAACCTCATTAGCACAAAACACAGTGCTTAGAAAGACAAGTCATTCATCAAATACCATTTTAGGAAAGAACCTTTGCTAATAGACATATTCCAAATAGCACTATTATCCCAGCATTATCTACTACCAAAGCCACATGCTTCTTTACAATCCCATGTTAAAATATATTTAAATCAATGACAATGAACACAATTTAATAAGAACCACTTATCTAAAATATAATCTCTAATTTGAAAAGAGAAGTCTGTAGACCATGGTAGAACCAATAATAGAAATACGTGAAAGATCAAACAATTTTCTTTACTGTTTCCCTTCATATATCCTCAATATTTCTTAGTTAAATCTACCTAAATGTTTGTATAAGTACATAATTCTTTAAGCTATCAAGTTTTCAAAAATAAAAAGTTAAAAACAAAAAGTGGAATACCTATCCTCCACTCTATGGAGCCTTTTTCATGGTTTATATGAACATTTTTGTTACAAAAATTTTCAATTTCAATCACATGTTCTCCTACCATTATCACATCTAAGAAAAGTGATTACAATTTTTATATTGGCTAATATCCAATGCACATTAAAATCTCCCAAGAATGTTTTCCATAGGATTTTTTCTTTGTTGAACATTTACGTTGTTTTTGTTTTGTTTTGTAATGTTCACACACTACATTTGGTAGTTATATCTCTTCAGTCTCTCTTAATCTAGAAGTCCTCCTTTTATTTTTTTAACATTGGCCTTTGTAAAGGAACAAGAAGAGCTGTCTTATAGAATGTCCCACATCTTGAGTATACCTGTATCAAACTGAATACAAATGGGAGGTGCAATAAATGTAAAATACACATCAAACAGGAGATTTAGCATAAAAGGGAATGTAAACTATCTTATTAATCATTTTGATTACATGTAGAAAATCCAATCTTTTGGACATATTGAGTTCTATTAAATATATTTACAAAATTAGTTTTATCTTTTTATTTTTAGTTTTTACTGTTGCTACTAGAAAATTTTAAATTACAAATGTGACTGACATGATAAATCTATTGGACAGTCCCAGTCTACAAGTTTAATTGTATTCAGACTAAATGTTTTTGCAGATATATTAGTATTTGCTAGGTGATGTTGTTTACTCAAAATCCAAGTGATGAGTCATTTACTACAGTCTATTCTACAATGAGAGATACCAGGTCTGATCACTTGGTTAAGGTGCTAACTGCAAAATCTTTAATTGGAAAAGCACATTCTCCTTCCAATTAGTAAACATTTTGAAGAAAATTCTTACAACTTTTTTCTGATGGTTTAGAGTTCACTGCCAATCCTTGCCTGAATCTATTATAACAGTGGAAGTTTCACAATAATAGCTGGAATTTTTCTGTAAAGATCATTGCTTTATTTTCTCTACCTCTCACACTTTTTTCAGTTTCCCTCCTCTCAGAATATTAAGGATTCAACAGTAGCATTCAGTATCTCAAAATCGATTACAGTTACGCTATTCTTTGATGCTCAAATTGTCCCAGAGTTGGCCATTGGAAGCCCCTTCCAGACAGCTCGAGTATGCTTTTGATTACTCCATTAAACTCCACTTCCTTATTTTCAGGTAACACAAGATACTCCAGGTTCTTTTTCTATTTTTCCTGTCCCAGACCTGGCTGAAATTAGCTATTGAGTTGTTCATTTCTTTTAGGGAGGAATGGTATTTAGAAACCAATATCTGGTACTAACAGTGCTGGTTGTTACTCTCCCTTTCAGTGGAGTGAAAATGAACTATTAAAAAATTATGAATTCATATTGAAATTTCCAATGCAAACTTAACATTATTTTAAAAAATATATTTAATTTCCACATTTGTATTTTTTCTCTTACACTGAAAAGCTTGGTTTCTTATAATATTAATATGTTTACTAACATAATTTACATTATAGTTTCTAATATTAATAAATTTACTAATTGATCTTACAATTTACTAACAATGAATCTATAGAGTGAAGTTTTAAATTTTCTACAACGGCAGAGCACCATGATCAAAATTTACTTTAAATAATTATTTTCCCTATGTGATTACATTACCAATATTATATACAGATATTTATTGCCAGTTAAAATAAAAACAACCTAAATGTACTTTTGACCTTCTGTTCCATCAGCCAGGCCACAAACACGCGATGTTTACATAGCTATTCACCGGAAGCAAGAGCCTGGACCACAGAGCGGATCACCAGCAGCATATGGCTCACGTGTGGGCGACCAGCACCACTTGAAAAGCAGAAGTTCACAAGACAGAAACACGTATGAGCATCCGCCTGTCTGGGGCAGGAAAGCTGAGGAAGAGGCATACCAAGACTAAGGGAAAGAGGACGGGAAGGGTAACAGGGTGGAATGAAAAGGGGTTGGTGAATGGCTAAGAACGGCTGGATAGGAAAAATAAGTTCCAATGTTCGACAGCAGACGAGGGTAACTATAGTTAGGAATATATTGTATATTTCAAAGTAGCTAGAAGAGAGGACTTAAAATGTTATCAACACATAGAAATGAAATATACCCAAGGTGATGGACCCTCCAAATACCCGGACTTGATCATTACACATTCTGTGCCTGTTAAAAAACGCTTCCATGTACCCCATTTCATAAATATGTAAAATATTATGTATCATTAAAAGAAAGAACAAAAAAGACAGGGAAAATGCATATGCTGTGCTCCACGCAGCCAACAAACTTCTGCTCTAAGCAGGGAAATGATTCCAAAGGCTGGCTTGCGTTTCTTAAAATAAAAATAATTAAAAACAACAACAATATGTCGTTTAATTCAGAGCTGGAGGCTAGAAATAAATTACTCAAATCTCGCAAATATGTAAACTATGAAAATGAAACTAGCTACCTTTTACTGTTCAGTTTAAAAAAGTTCTTCTTCTCTGCTCCTCCATTGCGGTCCCCTTCAAGATCCATCCCGACCTGAGAAGAAAGCGCAGCTCATTAGCCAAATGCATGACCCTCAGGCGCGCCGGAGGTGAGACTAACCTCTAGTCCCCCGCCGAACCCCAGAGAGCAGTAAGAGGGAGCGCTTGCCATGATGCTCCAGCTGCTCTGGCCGCGATGGGCACGGCAGGGGCTTTCCTGTGCGCAGGGTCTCCAGCACCTCCACGCAGGCAGAGTTGGGGTCTGGCAGCGCGTTCTGGACTGTGCCCGCCGCCAGTGCGCTTCTCCCTCCCGGTTCCGGTCGCCGCGGACGGTGCTGCCTCCCACCAAGCGCCCGCGGGCTCAGAGACCAGGTCCCCTCACCGCGCGGGCTCTGCGCGCTCCGGGCAACATGGTCCAGTGCCACTACGCTTTGGGCGCTGCTCTAGGAGCTCCTGAGTCTAGATCTCACCCCTCTTGGTCCCCATGGACTTGCTAGCGGTCTCCACACCATCCACGCCTCAAGAAGCCCTTCTACCGTGAAGACCAAGTTCAGGAAATCTGAGAGCCTGACACTTCTTGGGAACTGTCCCGTAGTAGCTCCCAGCTTTGCGTGCCCCTACCTCGCGCTCCTTGGAACGGCCACCAAGACGTGAAATTTTGGAAGAAGATACTCCGACTTTAGTGGAAAGACCTAGCGGAAACGAACAGCGGCCTCTGCTTCTTTAAGCTTGGAAGAGCCGCTGGTCGAATGAGCTCAGGCTTCCTGTGGCAAAGAGAGCGAAGCGGCTGTGCTCAGCGCACGCCCCGGCGCCGTCCCTGCCCAGCCAATCAGCCTCACCACAAATGACTGCTCCGGGCCCGGATTGACTGAATGTTGATTCCTCGAGAAATTGCGAAACAGGCTGAATTTCGAGGAGGAATGTTCTCGCTTCCGTTGCACCTCTCTAGAAAGGGCAAGGTAGAGAAACGCGCATCAGCTAAATCATCGGGGACATTTGAACTTGTAGAGACATGTCTCTCGAAGTTCACGTTCGTCTTCATATCCATACAACAACAGGACGTAGTTAAGGGAAATTTTCTCGGGATTTGCGTTTAATACAGTTAATACAAAAACTACGACCTCTCCAATTCTGTATCATCTTTCTGCTTCCTAACACCTTTGAAAAGGCCAGAATAATTTTTTCTGCAGTGGTCTTTCTTCAGCATGTTTGACAGTTTCTGAGTTATATCTGTTCATCCTTTATTTGATGATAAATGGAATGAAAGAAAAAGGAAGTTTTAAAAAATATACAGAGACAGGTATTTCAAGGTAGAAATGCTGTTTCAAAGCGTGTAATATTTTAAAACTTCAGACGTCAGATCAATGCCCGTGTTTTTCCAGGGCATTTCAAATTCTTACATTTTAATTCAAATTAGTAAAATAAACATAGCATGTTTTGGCATATTACATTAGTTATAATTTCGTTCCATATTTACTGCCAACATTTAGTATTTTTTCCTGTCCACTATTTGTTTCAAACTGAGGAAAAGTACGTGCAATCTGCACAAATCAAAATTGTAAAGCAGTGCTAACTCACATCAGAGCTTTTCTTCTTATGAACATAGAGGAAATAGGTTTGTTTTATCCTCTAGTCTACATTCTATGATTTTCACATATTACCTATCAGTTTATTGCATAAGTTTAGAAGAAGAAAATCACTTTGTTTTTCACTGCATAGTCTGAGGATATTTCCTCTTTCTTTAAATAACTCATACTTCAAAGCCATAATTTTTTTCTATTCTTGACTACAAATTTTCCTTACATTGATATATTTTGTTCTTGGCCTTACAATGAAGTTTTCTTTTCTTTTCTTCTTCTTCTTCTTTTTTTTTTTTTAAACAAATTGTTAATTAGGCTTCTAACACTGTTCACTGTTTAAAGTCTTAACAACAACCCTGTGGTCCATCTGGGGTAAATGTATAAGCTTTCATCTTCATCACATGCATTTTTAATCTTATTTGTGCCTATGATCTCTGATTTCACTTTTGTTTTGCTTTGTTCCTTTATCTCACCTTTCATCTATGTAATCTTGTTGTATTTTATGTATCCTTTTGAATGGCCTTAAACCCTCCCTCAACAGTGCAGGATATAAATACAGTTCTATGTTGTTAGGCTGATTATACTGTTTCTGCAATCTTGAGCGTCAGGTAAAGATCTCTATCAAGGATATAAGTAAGTTAAAGATCAGAATAGCACAGATATTTTAAAAATAAGATTCTACCATTCTATTATATTGTATTCAATTTCTTTGCTCCACTGACATGAAAATGTGAATATAAAACATAATGGACCTAAAACAAACTAGCTCTTGCTACTTTCAACAGTCCTTGGCTTCTTGAAAGACACCAGTCTTGCATTTGTGCTACCACCACTCCTGTCAAGCTGGACTTGGCTGTTCTCCTTAAGCTTCCTTAATTTCTGGTGAAACCTACTTAGTCCCCTTGCAAGATGACACTCACATACCTTCATCAAGCAGTGATATTTCCATTTGAAGTGACTGCCACCATCTGCACCTTCTTGTCCTCCGCCCTCATGTAGCCATTTCACCAACTTGTCTACACTCTCAGAATACTAAAGATTTGCCTCTCTGTTGCAGTCTGTTCTATATGTATCTGTGGGAGTAATAATATATAATGATAATAACAACTAACATTTATTAACTACTGGTCATTTATCAGGAACTGCCAAGCATTTCAAAGAGATTGTCATTTCATCTTGACAAGAATCCTGAGAAGTAGTTACTATTGTTGTTACTCCCATTTTACAATAAAAGACACTGAGGTTTGCGTTATTTGCCCAGTCACACAGCAGGTAAGCTGCTAACCAGTAGTCCCTCTCTCATAACTGCACTCTTAACCACTACCCTACACTATAGTACATTATCATAGGACACTCCACTTCACTGCCTTTTTCAGCCCCATGAAGTGTTTTCTTCTTATGAGTTCATCTTGGAAAACCTGCAATGGCTCGTTGCCACAGACTATATCACATCTAATAGTTTCCTCTTAGCTTTTAAGAACCACAACACATCACTTCTCTCTAATCATCTTCCTCACCCTCAACATGTACATATTCACTCCATTTCAGCCAAACTCACTGGGTTTCTCAGATCATAGGCTCTTTTCACTCTGTGCCTTTCCACGTGTAAATCGTTAAATTAATTTACAAAGTTTTCTTCTTTAGTACCTGGCTCCATTAAACTATTTGGACTTCAAAGGCAGAAAAACTTAGATAAGGACCGTCTCTGCTGATTATTATGCGTAGGTTTGAACAGGTTACTTAACTCTGCTGTCCCACAGTTATCACTTTGGTAAAGAGTAGATAGTACCTTCTAATGTTATGGCAAGATTAAGTGATTTGTATATTTGAAAGATTTGTACAGTGCCTGAAACATTCTAAACATTCAACATTGTTATATGTTAGTAGTAATGCCCTCTTCTCAATCTCTTTTTGCCCTTCCTTAGCATTCTTCAGCACTCATGTATGTAGTCACATCTATTTATCCATATATGATTGACCAATTATTCTCATATCCCAGCTCTCTGAGTCCTTTATTATGAGTATTAACAACACATTTATAGAAATGAAAAAGCTGTTCACCTATTTTTCCTTCTCCTATGGTTTTTAATTCTTCTGGATGTTCTTCTCATAACACTTTTAATGTAAATCTTATGTATCTTTCTCTGATCTCTCTAATAATTTATTTTCTCTCTTTTTCCTAGCTCTCCTATTTAGCCGATCTGAGTCCAAATTGAAGGCTCAACATGCTTAAAGAAGGAATGCAACTCACCTCAATGAACTTAATCGACCTGAGGCAGAGAAAGAATGCAAGTTTCCACCCAGTCCAAAGAGCAAGATATATGACTCAGCTGTGTTAACAATAATACGGGATCCACACACTCTCCACCCTTTCATGTGTAATGATTTTTATGTATGAAGGACATGGGACATGTGATTGACGTAATGATGGGGCATATTAAATGACTGTACTTGAACTCATGTTGGATTACATGAGATTGCTTCTATTGTCACCTGCGTTGAAAGAAAAAAATCCAGATTGGGAAGGTCAATATGATCATTTTCCGAGGTGGTTTGTCTTGCCATAATTTAGCCAATACAGCAACAGACATGACTTGTGTGAAATGGTGATCAGATGATAAATTAATTTAATTTTAATTAAGTCACTTAGTGACTTAGCCACGTGATAAATCAATGGCAAATAGAAACCTGAATTATACTCCTCTTCGAACCCTTCCCCATCTAATCCAGCCGGGAATATTTTCTACCACTCCGCAATCCTACTTTTCAGTATCTGCACCTCTCATTTTGTATTTATTAATGTTTCATATGATGATGAATTTTTAAAAATATTCTGACTGGACAGAGACTTATACAAAATAAAGTTTCAGTAAATGTTTGTAGAAAATATTAAGTGCTGAGAGTATGACATCAGAGACAGATTTATGGAAATTACACTAGTAGGCTAAATGCCTGAGTTATCATTAGTGTGCCTTGAAAGATCCGTTGCCATGGACTATCTCCCTTACCAACTTCTTTTTATTGAGACAGAGTCTTACTCTATCGCCCAGGCTGCAGTGTAGTGGCACAATCCAGGCTCACTGCAACCTCCACCTCCTGGGTTCCAGCGATTCTCATGCCTCAGCCTCCTGAGTTGCTGGGATTACAGGAGTGCACCAGCACACCAGGCTTATTTTTGTAATTTTAGTAGAAATGGGGTTTCACCACATTGGCTAGACTGATCTTGAACTTCTGGCTTTAAGTGATCCGCCCACCTCAGCCTCCCAAAATGCTGGGATTACAGGCGTGAGCCACCATGCCTTGCCTCCTCAATCAACTTCTAATATCTTTAAAACTCCATTAGAGAATCATCTCTCTGAGTAAGTCACTGCCCCCTACCATAATAGTGCAAGAAATGTTTTCAAATGAATGACAAAATTAAGAGTAGAGAAGACAACTGAGTAAGATCAAGGGAAATAAGAAAATGAAGTGGCAACTCTTAGAATTCCAACTTCATAACTTACTAGCTGTATGGCTTTGAACAAATACTCCACCTCTCAAAAAACTTGGTATCTGTGTCATTCAAATAAAGACAAAAACAGCATCTTCCTAGGGTTTTTGTAAGAAGAAAATAAGGTAAGATTTGATGTGTGTTTGGTATAGACTAAATAGTAGTATTTCCCAAATATCCTAATAAATGTGGTCAGTGGAGCCAAGATACGAATAAAAGTTAAGAACGTGAGAGTAAAAGTGATGACTGGAAAGGGCTAGTAATGGACATTGAAGGTAAATAACAATATGGAAATAATTATAAGGATTACTTTTAAAGAAATCTATAAAAATAACAAAATTATGAA